AGCAGCACCACCTTATCAAAAAGAAACTACTCGAGCACGTAAGGGTTTCAAAAAGAAAGAAACACAACAATACTACAAAGGTTCCCGGAGCAAATCTCGCGGCGCAGGTGCTGTACTGTCCGCATTTCAAGCTTATGTGACAACAGACCCCAATGCTATAGCATTGGAGCTGTCATGACGGCATGACAACACTTTCTTGTATTTGCTTACTGTATCTGACAGAGCGGATGGCACTCTGGAAGGAGCGATCACTTAGCCCACTTTAAGTGAGATGCTTGCAACATCACTACCGCCATCGCAGGCTAAGCAAACGAAAAATGGGAGCTCGCCACCGATTGCGAGAGATGCTTGGAAAACCACTACCAACATTAGATATTAACCATACAAAAGGATGGGAGCTAACATTGAGAGTTGAATTTGAGTGTGTCTAGCCATCGGGTTCACTTCCTATTTTTCATCGCACTACTCAAGTCACCGACGCCCACACAACTATCCAAGACCAAACATGCGTTTCACCCACTTCCTGCTCTTCGCTACGACAACTCTTCTCTATAGCTCTAATGCTAGTGAGACCGTCTCAGGCGAAAGCCAGGCCAAGTTGACTACAGTGACTTCGACTGACGCTGCGGCTCCAGCCCGCGCTGTCGATGGTAGGAACGCCAAGAGGTTGTTGCGAGTCGACCGCGAGGACGATGAAAACGAAGAAGATAAAGAAGAGAGAGTAAACCCGGCGCTGTTGGACGAGCAGGCGCTTGCCAGGTGGACTGCCAAGTGGGCTGCGAGGGCGGACGATTGGTTCGATCAAGGATACACTCCGGGTCAGATCAAGGAGAAATTGACTGGTCTGCGCGATGAAATGAGCCGGAAGAACGGGAGGAAGTACTACTTGTTTTTGAAAAAGTGGAATTCGGAGCATCCTCGCGGACGTGACTAGCGTACACAGCTTCACTGGCGATTAAGACCTGTGAAATAAAACCACAGCTTCTTCCCTTTCGCACTAATCAATTATACTTGTTAACCACAACGATCTGTTTTACACATTTTCTCTCATGTATAACACTGCGTGAAATGGATAGCTTGAGAGCCATTATATTATTATTTTACAGAGGGAACACACCGCCAACACCATTGTGACCACCACGATGAACGCTGCCCGCACCAAGAGCAAAGCAAATAGGGACGGCAAGCGACGGAAACTGCTGTCCTCAACAGGGATTATCTTTAATGGAGTCGGCGAGAGGTCTGGAACTGGTAGTTGCGTGCGTGGCGATGGTGTGGGCGAGATCGTGATGCTGTGTCCCAAATACACAAGTAAGAAGCAATGAACAGTTTTAATGTCTATCGCCTTAAATTTGAACAGTGGTACTGATGTTGGAAGTGAGGGAAGAGTCTGTACTTAGGATAGTTTTAGAGCTTGTATATAGTTCTACAGATTAACATTCCTCACCTAGTACAGCCCGTTGAACAACTTGTGATCAGGTTGACTTTGTTAAGGCGGTTGATGTGATTTACATTCATGAAATTTAGTGGAAGTCAAACGAAATACTTTGAATCTGGAAATGTATGGAAACATTTGACAGTACACCAGACTTTCGAAAAGTCTCGATTGCGACTATTTCAAAAAGATAGGAACTTGGGGGAGGGCGCGCCAAAGTAAAAGTGTCGCCCCCGCAGTTCGGACAGATGGAAGCTTCTAGAAGCTTCCACAAGCCGCCCTACATCTGCTAGTTTATTAATTACTATACTATACATTCCATAGTACTACTAACATTGCAATAAGTTAGTAATACCAACCAATCAGATACAGCGACCCTTTAAGAAGCTGTTTTGCGATGAAACTGGTTTTGGAATGATCGGTCACGTGATTCCACACCGTTAGGTACCACTCATTTCTATTACTTTGATTTTGACCTCACTTGAACGTTTCTTGTCTATCATTTCATTGTGGAAAGTTTCAAGTTATACAGTATTCTCAAGGGAGAACAACTCTACCAGTTCGGCGGAATAAAATTCTATCAAATATGGCAGAATATTATCAATATACGAGCTCATCTTAGACAGGTTCATGTGTAGAAAGTAGTGATGGGGATGTTACCTAACATTAACTTCCCGTAGAGAAAAAAGGGAGCATCATTTAAACGTAAGTTAACGTTAATTAACGTAAACTAATTTGTATGTACAGTAGTGATCTCAACCAATCATAACGGTTTGTAAAGGTGAGGCTCCAAAGTCATTATCCATTATTGTTCATATGTTTAGCTTCACTTTGCCGATAGGGTTTGCCCTTCACACACATTTTTAGCGGTAGAGTGACTCTCAGAAGAACATCAGCCAACTCTGGCGATTGCGTTGTGCGCATTGCGAGCTTTGCGAGGATAACATAGGGGTTGGAGTGTATTTAGCAGTTGGTTAGACCTAAAGAAATTGTTTATGTGGCTAGTTCTTTCTTGGTGGCTTTCGTGTGGATCCAATTGGGGTAGTCCGCGCTGTGGATACTGCCACTGAGACGACTACATTTCAGATGTGTCAAGAAGACCAGAGCGGAATACTTTACTGCTCCTCTTATCCGTAATCAATCAACTTGCTCTTCTTCGCCACTATAATAACGATTTCCACTAACCTTGGGGTCAAACAAACAATTTCATTAATGAGAGCTTATGCAGTGACCATCAGCTCGATCCGCAAAGGGACGAGGAGAGGCGGGTAATTCTTGAGCTGCTTGTTCTTCTGGTTGCGAAGTGAGAGGGTACGACACGTGTGGTCCGCAGCAAGCCAGCGAAGCCGGAAGACCAGTTTCCACTAGTATACCGGTATCTATCTTGTGTGGAAAACATAACTCCCTTGTTTCACTCTGATCCACTATGGAATACACCTTTCCATTAACCTCGGGGTCAAACAAACAATTTCATTAATGAGAGCTTATACACTACCATCAGCTCGATCCGCAAAGGGACGAGGAGAGCGCTGCCCCCAATAGATGATCATGCAATAAGCCTCATCAATGTAACGTTGAATCACCCTTGGTCCCTGTAACCGTGGACGCAGACAGCGTTGCCACCAATTCCTTGCAGAGTCTTGTGTACGTCTTGTACGCATCGGACACCCACCGCCCGTGGAACTGAATCGTCAGGGCATCTGTACCTGTGCGATACATGTGCGTCGCACCACCGGAGCGCAAGGAGTGCGAGCTGAAGCGACGCGGGTCTTTGCCTATGCGGCTAGCAGCTGCCTTGATAATATTGGAGACGTCCTCAGTCGAGATGGCCATTGGTTTACCACGGCGTGACATGAAGACCGCGGCGGGAATGTCGGCGGGGAGGTCCTTTCTCGCTTGAAGTAGGATGAGAGCTCCGAACACGGGGCACAGGAACGGATGCCCAGATCGAGAGAGCATTCTCGTAATTGGGGCTCCGCCTTGGTTTGTCTTCGATCCCACCAAGCGAATCCACACTGAATGAGCCTCCGACGGAAAAGGGGTCTCAATGCCGTTGGCATCTACCCTCACGATGTCCGGAGCCCGTAGGGCAAACCACTTGAAAGATCCTCCGCTGATTACCACAATCTCGGAGCGCCTCAGCAAGAAGAAAAACGCTAAGCACAGGACCCCCCAAAGAGCTTGCTCAAAGGGATCAGCATGGTCATGCCCCGAAAGCAGCCCTCTAGGAGGTCGAGAGAGACTGGTGCCTTCTGGAGACGCGGACGGTCGAGGCGCCCGATGCCTTTGAGCAGCATACGGATGTGCGGGTGTGAGATCGGAAACTCGTAGCCCATCGCCGCGAAGAAATGCCGAACGCCTTGAAGAACCGTCATGATAGAATCACTGCGAATGGGACCACCGGAGCCAAAACCGAACTGAAAACCGTGCAACACAAAGTCCGAGATGTACTGCACTTAGTCGCCGTGGGCCGTACCACTCAGCCAAGGAAAAACACCTCGCCGCGAAGTCCAGGTTTGCCACTTGGTTAGTGCACGCCAGTATTGATCGAAGATGGAGTCGGCAACGGAGTGTGCTCGGAGATACGCTGCCAAATATTGGTTAGGCGTGGACGTCCACCTGCGGAGATACCTGTAACCAGCCAGCGGTTAGAGACGTGAACAGCGCTGCAAACGATGGGTCTGCGGGGGAGCGGGAGCCAGCGTCAGCGCGAACATTGTCGATACCAGCGATGTGTGACGCGGAAAAACGGAGTCCGAACGATGTCTCCCACCAACTTAGAAGACGGATAATAACCTGGGCTCGGGGGTTCCGCGATGCCAGCTTGTTCTGCCATGCCACCGCAGAAGCGTTATCGATGCGGAAGTGCTCATGAAGAAGCCTGGAGTGGCTCAGGGATTGTTGGGACCATCGGGTTCCGCAAATGCGCACGAAAGGAGCTCGCGGTAGTTGATATCGAAGCCGTTGCGCACACCTCGATTGAACTCCAAGATCAATTGGCGTTCTGGTACAGTAAACGCGTGCGTGAGTGCTTCTTTGGCGGCAGGGTCAAGAGCGCAGAGACCATAATCTGAGGCATCCATTTCAATCACTATGTCGGCGGGTGGCAGCGTGTTGAAAAATTCCAGAGGTACACCATTCAACTGGGGAGCGTGTAATATCAGCCACCACCACAGTAGATCGGCTTTCCTATCGTCGGAAACCGGGACGTGCTGAAACTGATGCAGGTGGCTTTCTCGCTCGCGAAGGCGTTGCAGAAATGGCCTACCAGCGCGGACCCAGGTTGCCATATGGCGCAGGCTACCCAGCAGAGATCGATACTCCTTGCGAGAAAGCGATTTGGCATTGTAGGCGCACCCGACGATCCGGCGAGCTTTTTTTAATCTTTGGCTCCGGTAACGCGACCTGCCCGGCTTCGGAATCGAACTCGAGACCAAGGACACGCTGGCGCGTGCTCCAATTGGTAAATTTCTCGGTGTTGATGGCGTCAGCACCGAGGACGGACACCATGGCGTACCTGAGCGAACGGTCCATCTCGCTGCATGAGGGTCCAACGTCCGGTGGCACGTTAATGTGATCATCGACCCAGTGGTAGGCAAAGAAACCTTTTGGGGAGAACGCGTTCGTGTGGGAGCCGTGAACGTGGGTGATTGCCCCGCCAAAAATCTCGTAAAAACCCGGCGACCCCGTCCAGCCGAAAGGAGCGGAAAGTTCGATAACTATCGCGCCCTCTTCCTCAATCCTACCGGCGAACAAGTAGACACTGTTGCTGTGAATGCTGATATTTCGGAAAGCCGTCGCGACGTCACCGGCCATCACAGCTATTTTTGCGCTTGGAAATTGCTGTTTGGCCCTCAGAATCTTGCGAGACACTGCATCGCAGTGGGTGTAGTCGGGCTTGTTGATGCTGTCCTGGTCTGAGAAGTCATTGGTGGACGCGCCTTCCGGACAAGACAGGTCATGGATTGTTCGACCACACACCTTAGAGTCTTCACCGCCTTTGTCGACGACACCGAAGGGGCTGATGATGATTTCCGGCCACTGCTCCAAAAGATCTGCGTCCAAGACCAGGCATCTCCAAGCTTCTTGCTCCTTTCGGATGTTCTTGCGCAAGATGTTGAGCCGATCACGTGTAGATCCATGATTTGGGGGACGAACAGACTGACGAGGCGGAGACATTTTCAGCTTAACTTCGACACCTTACTGAACAATTCTCTGGAGCAGATCCAAATGGCTGTAGCCCTTGCACACATTTTCCAAGACAGTCGGCACCATGTTCTTGTTTGGCCGGTAATCACTCATAGTTTGCCCTCGAACCAGCTCCACAAATTCGGACGGCGATAAGGCCGACCGACGTGCGAGATCTGACAACGCTTGCTGGAGGAGCTTGTTAAGTAAGAACTCCGTGCCAGTCGCTCCTTCCTGTGACGTGGGGCAATTACTTGCAGGCGGTGTGACGTCAAACCTCGAGAAAACCTCAGCCATTGTTGCTGTTTGTAGTTCTCGGAGAAGATCACGGCGCTGGCTCGCATTATCGTGTGCTCTGGCCGCGACCTCGCTTGATACAGCCGGTCGTACGAGCTTAAGGGCCATCAACGTGCTGTCTTTGGTAGCGGAAAGCGACGTCTCGGTGGAGAGTTTCTGTATTGGGAACTCAGACTGTATAGTCAAAGGTTGCTGTATAGCATTGGGTGACTGTATGGTCGACCCGGACTGTGTAATCAAAGGTGGCTGTACATCCGTAGCGCAGATGGGAGGCACGTTGGCACCAGAGGTGTGCTGTTCGGAACCTTCACATGTCACCAAATTGACACGTTGCGGTAGGTTTTCCTTGACAAAATGACGGTCCGTACAGCTTTTCACTCGCTCGCGCGACGAGTTGGTCGAGCCATCCTCCAAGCACGACATTTCGCTCGCCTCCTTGAAGTGCATGACGGTAAGACCTCTTGAGCCCAGGCGCCCACTGAAGACGGCCATCAGAACCGCCGGAGATGTCTTGAACTTCACGCACTCTAGCTCCCGCAGCATCTGCACAAACGACATAGGAGACTTCATCTTACCTGGTTCCAGGCCCAATCCGCGGAACATGCGACTTGCTACCAGAAGGTGGGCTTGCGGCGGATTATACTCGCCCTTGGACTTCTTCGAACTTTCCGGGAAACTTCTACACGTCAGGTATCGAACCTCCGGAGGAGGAAGCTCTCTTTTGCATTTGGGGCAGTACCGGCACTAGTGGGAACTTCCAACAAAGGAGCCGATGCGGCAGGCCCCCACCGAGGCTCACCTTGACTTTGAAGCATTCGCAGGCAGTGCAACCTCCTCCCGCAGCGCTCGGAGCTCGGCCATGACCGGCTCGACGTCGGTCTCAGTAACCTCGGCTGGCGAGTCATGTCGAAACGAAGCTTGGGCCGGCGTCGTTGTAGGCAGGGCAGCGGCTTCTCTTCGTTCTAACACAGCTCGGTTGGGCTCAAACGAAGCCATGAACTCGTTCAGGTTGAACTCACCCCGATCGTTACCCGACGTCTCCGCGGTCTTGGCTGGCGCGGGCGTTCGTGCCGTGGGTGATGGAACAGGAGCAGGGGACTTCTTTGCCCGTTTGGCTCTTGGAAGCGCAGCCTTCTCTTCCGCGTCGGGGTCCGTTTCGACGCCCGCATCCTCGGCTCTCTTCTTAGGTCCTGTACTCCCGTAGTCCTCAGAGCCCTTCTTGCTGCTTGAGCTGACCGAAGCTGCCGTCGACGCACGTCCTGACGCCTTCTTCTTGCCCTTACGGGCCTCGACCGACACCGTACTCGTAGCCGTCCTTGCAGCAGCGCGCTTGCTCGCTCGTAGCGGGGGGGGGGGGGGGGGGGGGGTCGGACGTGCTGCGGGCAGCGCTGGCGGTCCACGGTTCCTCACCGCCGGTGATGTCGACGACATCAGCGCTTCTTCCAGGCGTCTCGCTGTCCGACGGGGCGGCGTCAGCCTTGGGCGAAGGCGAGGGAGGCGTGGATGCTGGCGTAGTCGTGTCGCGGGTGGCCATGGTTATTACCGAAAAGAGTCCCCCTTTAATTCTTGAGCTGCTTGCTGCTTGTTCTTCTGGTTGCGAAGTGAGAGGGTACGACATGTGTGGTCCGGAGCAAGCCAGCGAAGCCGGAAGACCAATTTCCACTGGTATACCGGTATCTATCTTGTGTGGAAAACATAATTCCCTTGTTCCACTCTGCTCCACTATGGAATATACCCACGCCAGATCGTTGATGTGATCTGATGCCGCTCCGGGATCCTCATCAATGCCACCTTAGAGTTGTGACTGATCTACCGAGTGCCCCGACGGAATTCGCGAAGACGGTAATGCAAAGTGAGATCCCACAACATAAAAGTTAGATCTGAGGCGTGAAATCCCAGATCAAGTGGACCTAGGTACAAGAATATATGAATTACGGTATGAGAGACTACCTAACCTTGTAAATTATTGATCAGTTTGCGTTTTGCTTCCTGGAAAGTAGCCTGGGTACCAAGAAGATCCGAGACACCGATTAAAGTTAACGTTGTCATCGTCGACATGCTCAACAAGAACGTAGAGGCTCCTATAGTCCCAGGATTGATAACCGAGATGCTGTAACCGCTGAAACATCCAACTGGTGATAAGCGAGAAACGTCAACGACGAAGGCTGTAGCATCTGTGCGTCAAAATGGACGTCGGTACCATTGGGCGTGGCTGTTCACGGTGCCCAAAACAATTCTATCTACAAAAACTAAAGTGAATACAAATTTGCGCCATGATATACCTCCTCAAAACGCCACTTTGATCTTGGTATCAGCGGATTCATCTGCATGAACGCCCGTCGGTCTACATTCATGTGCTGTAGTGATAGAAATGTGATTTCGGCTTCGTTTATAGATTGAGATGGGCCAAGCTTTCCCAACAACGAGTTCTTGAACCTAGTTTAACATTCGTTCAATACACAATTTCATATCAGATAGATTTGTATGTGAGTTAATACGTTTAAGAGCCGTACCGCTCTGTTCGCTTCACAGTTACACTTGCTGCGGATAGGTTTTCTTCGGCCACTGGTAGTATCATTGTGTTATCACTATTGAAGAATATTCGAATTCGTGTTGTAGACCTACCGATGCAGTAGTTATCAAGGAGAAGCAATTGCTCTTTTGCCTTCACGACAGCATCGATAGGAAGTGGTCGTAACATCGCAAAGAAAACAATAATTAAATGGGTTGATGTTAATAATAATAATATATAAAAATTCAAACCTTCTGCATAATGCCGATGATGTTCAGGTGTGAGATTGGTAGTGTCGTAAAAGAGTAGCCGTGGCAAAACGGAATTCAGCACCGTAATTGTAGGAGCTTTTTTGGACCAAATCGCTGTACATATCCTGTACCCGATCGCTCCACGGAGATTCCTCCACAGTCTACAAGGGTCCAATCATCGAAATGCATTCTGTAGGTGCCGTCCGTAGATACCACCAAGCTGTCGCCTTGGTCATGTACTGCACGCTCTACATTGCAAAATAAAGCTCTAGATGCCACCACTACACCAAGTGAGGCTACGGACATACAGTGACTAAATGCTCGAACCCGTCTAAGACGATAAGCTCGTTCAAGTATGCCCCATTCGTTTCATCGACTCGATAAAATTCAACTCGACTTTGACATAACTTTCCCGCTGTCCAGTTTGTTAATGCCACGATTTTAGTGATCTCCCATCCATCCCCCGACAGTCGCTTCAAATAGGCTTTCCTGTTTTCCATTTTCTTCGTTTCTGGCACCCGTGCGAGCATGGCAGGATATCTCAGATACTTATAAAGCAGCATGTTCCTCACCCGACCTGCGGTCATACCGAGCTTGAGCAGTGCATCCACTTCCGGTTTTAAAATCCGTGAAATGCCCTCAATTGCGAGATTAACTACAGTTCCAGCATGTTCTCCTTTCTGTAGAACCTGGTATTTTCCCCCGGCTTCACTAGCTGGAAGGGTGATTAGCTTGACTCGATGATGATAACCTTTGTGCGCGCGGCACTCAAACGCTTTTCCAACGCGAAACATTGACGCGTATCGCGTCTTATAGCTGTAATCGAAATGATTCAGCTGATCTAAGCTCCGCTCTGCCATCTCCTCTGCATCGTAGTGACCGACACTGATATATTGGACTTTATTCTGAATAGCAATAGTGGATGTGCTAAACGGACCAGTTCCATCAGCTGCATTTTCATACTCCAAAGATGAATCAGAATCTTGACCATCGTCTACCGCGGCAATCACTCCAGAACTACCACTATTCGAATACAACGCAAAACATGCAGTACCATTGTTTGTAGTAGAAGTGTTCTCGTCGGCGGAAGGTGCGACATCCGTGTCTTCGCCCGAACCGGTGACAGCGACGTTCATGTCTTCTACTGAGTCTGTTGTGTAGTCATCGCTTGGGGAGAACGCCAGCAGCTCCATGGGATCAGCTTCCCACTGCACGGCCTGCTTCTTATGCCCGGTGGAAGTGCGAGCTGTTTGAAACTTCTTCTTTGAACTCTAGTAGTATGTAAATAGTAGCAGGTATTTGAAGGGTAAAAATATAACAATACTTCAGTATTGAATTGCTGTTTACCGACATCCATCATCCGCAAGTTTGGATTTCTTACTTATGTACACATCCCTGTATCTTTGGTCAAGCAGAAGCAAGATGCTAACACATACGTGTCGTTCGTGGTCGGCTATGCTGAGATACGGTGGGATGCCAAGTTTTCATCCGAACAGTGAAATTCGTTGCGGAAGTTCGTGTACAAGAAGAGTTTACCTATCGAGATCGCCACAATGTGCATCCTGCAGACTCAATGTAAATGAATAGCTCCATTTTGATGCCTGCAAAGATGAAAATCGCAGAGAATACCATTTATATAACATATTCTGTAGACGACAGCAAAGTTGGCGACTTCAACTACTCCATGGATGGTGATTCTCAATATGTCTGCAGCGATATAAAACATTGGTCTCGTACGTGGCGATCGCGTTCAAATCGACGCCGCCGTCGATTCGTCACGAGAGAGGATAGCGCAGAAGATGAACCCGACATTGATGCAGTTATTGGGTCACTAAGAAGGAAACTTGACACGACAAACAAGGAGCCGATCGTTAATGTCATTGTTTCTGCATTGGCGAGCAGCACGACAAGCAGAGAGCGACGCCAGATGAAAACGAAGCTGAATTTTCTCACGAAGATACAATTGACAACATATCAATTGGATACGCTTCGGAACTGGAATTGGGTCCATTACAGATGAAAGTGCAGAATCAGTCGTGCACAACGATGATACTGAGTCTCTAGTAGTTGTGGATGACCAGAGCAAAAAAAATGTCAACTTAACGGACATATCAAAGCGTTCGAGTCACAAGCAACGCGAAATAGTTGGCATTCCACCAGGTCTGCGTAAGCGCGTAGAACATGATAAAACACCATCGGAATTGGAGAAAATCAACTTAGAGAACCACCTAGGCGCAACGAATAGGCCTGCATGAGCCACCAAGCGGCGTTCAAAATCTCGCTACAAGGACTACGTTTGCATCTCAAATTTTGCAATTCGAGTCCTTGAGAAGGATGGAAAGACCATCCACTCGGATCAGGTTAAAGCGCCATAGAATCGGAGGGAGGCGCTGCGCTCCAAGCAAGCAAATATGTGGTCGATAGCTGAACTAGAAGAAATGGCTGCTCTAAAGTCAAAAGGTGTTCTGAAGTAAATCGATTAGGGTGAGATGTTAGTAGACGCGCTAGCAGTTAAGACAATATGGGTGTACGCCTACAAGACTGATCACCGTGGATACACATACGAATGAAAGCCAGGCTTGTTGTTCTTGGAACCTGGCAGCGTCCTGGTATTGACTTTGTGGCGACTTTCGCTCCAGCTGCTAAAATGTCTTCATTTAGGCTGATAATTGCACTCGCAGCTGAATTAAATCTACAAGTGTACGGAGGTGACATCAGTACGGCCTATTTGAACGTGTCGCTAGAGATACCTCAGTTTGTCAAGTCAATTGAGGGAGTTCTGAGCACAGCTGATGGTAGCATGTACGTGGTTGGCAAGGCGTGGTATGTCTCCGACAGAAAGGGCGGGAATGGAGCAGCGAGCTGAATACTTGTTTGAGAGCACGTGGGATTCAGCGGCGTGCCACTGAACCATGCTCATACTTCAAGTATGATGGAGAAAATATCGCTCTAGTACTCGTGTACATCCGATGTTCTTTGTGCGACAAACATCCCCGACTTTTAAGTCCGGTCCGCTATTTGATGATTTGAACTTTGCTAGTGGATTGAAGGACCAACGCGAGCTCACAGAATACCTCGGTGTGTAGGTGCAGGAAAATGGCGACGAGATCTGCACAACTCGGCGAAAGTATGTGAATGAAATACTCACTAAGAACAGGTACAGACGATCCCCTCGGTAGTAATCCCTAGAAACCCCTCAACAGCAATAAATTTGCGGTTCTTGTTGACCAGTCACATACAAACCCAAGATATTATTCCCTCTCACCCCTCAATCGTAAAATGGAATACATTTGAAGTCAAATATTCCTTTTCTGGGGCTCTTACTATGGAAAAGTCATAACTGCACAAGAGCATTATTGCTGCCAAGTCCGATCCGAGTGTTGAACCGATGAATATTATTCTTTTGACTACTTTGGACGTGATTCGAGCTTTAGTATCACGGAGAAGTGCTCAACCTTCACTCTAATTGCACACCTGTGACAACAACACCCTCTTCACTCCACGAAACTCGACTGGCAAGTACCTGGTCGGGTGTAGACTGACGCACGCCTCGTGCCGCGATTTGGTGGCCAACTGCGAGACCGGCAGTGAGTCCAGTGCTGTTCAGCGTATCAATAGCTTCCAAGACCATAGATTCTGTGAGCCCATGAATTTAACTCTGGGACAAACTAGGTATTTGAACGTGGAGCTAACATATTTGTACAGCAGTCGTTGCGTGTTGGTGAGAGTGAGGTAGACTGGTTGGAGGGTATCTTTGTGTGGTGAGGCAAAAACTGGCAATAGGAGAGCAACACAGGGTGAATCACCAGTAATGAGATACATCAGTCGTATTCATTAGTATATTTTGTGCACTGTTCCAAACTAAAGGTACTCGGATCCATTTTCATTTTACATTCGTGGATAGGAATACTCTTAAACAGAAATATATTGGCGACTCCCAACGTATGCATATTACTTATACTAATGCATCCGTTCCGCTCGCCGCGGACTCGCTGCACCATTTGCATGGCTGGTTGGTAATTTGACCTGAGGCGGGCCGGGAGGTTCCGCAAGGTTGCCAGAGGTGTCGTTTTCGCTTCGCTTGGCAGCAAATATCAAATTTTAGCCAATGGGGACCGCCTTCGCTTCGCTCGGCATCCAGTAGAATGTCCGGATTTGCGTTTTCCGTTACTAACCCTAGCCGCGGACGGAATGAGGACACCCATGCTTCTGTCGAACGCTCCGAAATTTATCTAAATTTAAAATCTTTGGTTTTCGACTGCACAGGCGTTCTCCTGGTTAACATGACTTCTTTCTTACGGTCAGGCAAAGAATCGACACTTTTTGGAAGTCAACCAAGATTAGCAACTATTACTTTAAAGTGGTTGGGCAGCGCTAATTATGTATTCTTCTACTTTCAACTAACTTTGTCTCACTATTCTGTCAGAT